GCGGCAAAAGGGTCCGGGTGCTCCCCCCTGGCAGAGGGAAGGCTGAGCCGGTGTTGGACCAACGTTAGGAAGGAGGCGGACGCTTTAGGGATTGGGAGTACGACACTGAACGACCGGTACCTAAGTTTTCCGCGATCCGTTTCTTGCTCATCTCCGCCGCCTCTTGTCGGAGCTGCAGCGCGTGCTGGGCGATCTCATCGCTTGCCACGTTGGAGGTCATGATAAAGATGGCATCCTTGCAGTCAATGGTTTTCCCCTTCCCGTCCGTCAGTCTGCCCTGCAACGACACCGAGAGCAGCGTGGGACACGGCCAAGACACGAGGCAAAGGGACACCGGTCCCATTTCCCCCCCCACCGCCTCCTGGAGCAGATTTATTTCGGAAGGGATGCCCAAGGATCCAGGCAGGACGGAGGCAGGGCTGAGCTGCGGAGGCTGAAGAAGTCCCCACCGCCCCGAGGAGCGGCAGTGGGTTGCCTCCTCGGACCCTCTGCCTCCCCCCCCTGCTGTGGTTTTGGGTCAGACACACAAGCTCTGGTGAACCCCACGAGTGCAGGAGAAGTTGGTGTCACCTGATGCCTCCGTCCCACCCCTCTCTGTCGCCCCTTAGGTGGGTTGGGAGGGCTCTCAGAGATAGTCCAGGCTCCTGGCTCAGCCCTGCCTGGGGTTTAGGCTGGGCTGCTGGGCCCTCTGCCTCCCCCCCCTGCTGTGGTTTTGGGTCAGACACACAAGCTCTGGTGAACCCCACGAGTGCAGGAGAAGTTGGTGTCACCTGATGCCTCCGTCCCACCCCTCTCTGTCGCCCCTTAGGTGGGTTGGGAGGGCTCTCAGAGATAGTCCAGGCTCCTGGCTCAGCCCTGCCTGGGGTTTAGGCTGGGCTGCTGGGCTTGGCACTAGAGCAGCTGAGACGTGAGACATTCCCCCGTGCGGGCTTTTTTTGGGGGCAGAGCGGGCAGTTCCAGGTGTTGGTGCCTTGAACGGCTGCAGCGACATTGCCCAGATGTTCACCAAAGCCTTCCCAGTTGGTTCAGAGCTGCCCGTGGCACCGTGGCTGTCGGGAGGGCTCAGAGGGGAACCTGGGGGGGTCTGAAAGCCCCACGGGGAAGCACAGGCTGCTACCAGCCTGACCGAAAGTAAGCAAAGCCAAAATAACCTGGCAGAAACAACGAGTCTATGGCTCCAAGGGAGAGAACTAAGCAAGGGAGAGGCCGTGACAGTCTCGTGATGGGCTCTGCTCCCAGGGAAGAGGCGATGGGACGAGGGGCAGCGGCCTCAAGCTGTGCCAGGGCAGGGTGAGGTTGGGCATGGGGAACAATTCCTTCCCCTTGGGGCTGTCAGGGGCTGGAAGGGGCTGCCCAGGGAAGGGGTCGAGTCCCCAGCCCTGGGGGGATTTAACAGC